TACTAAAATGAAGTAATAAAGTACAAACTAACTAAGATGACTTGAGAGGTTAAATTAGCTTAGGTAGGGGTATGGGACTCTACCTATGCCTTGCACTAGTTTGGCTTGGAGGGAACTTTAGGAGGTTGTTACTATGTATGAATATGCTTATATATGGCACGTTCTATGTATATGATGAGCTTGCACATTGTTGATACTATATGTTGGTTCGTGTCACTTATGAATATGTGTTGTCTACATTGTTAAAGTATGATGATATGTACTCTTAAATGTTATGCTATGTGAAGTAGGATGTTGGTCATGATTCTTGCTGGGTTACTTGATTGAGTAAGGTTATGGGGATTTTCTTGGTCATTGTACTTGTTGACTTGATAAGGGTTGTGGGTAATTGTCTTGCTTTGGTTATGTTATAATGAACTCTTATTCATGCTTGTTGAGGTTATGACTTGATGATAGAGTTGCTTTGAATATATGTCTTATTGATTTGGTATGGTTTTGTTGAAAGTACATAAATGTTTTCAATGAAAAGTGCATACTTATTAAATGTCCCCTTTTATTAGCATGATTTCAAAGTATGTGTGCATATGGTCTCATACTTAGAACAAGTATGAATATTAGTTTTTATTTCCATTTTAGCGTTATACATTATTATATACTGTGGTTTTGGCTTTTTGGAATTATTTTTCTAGCACTTAGTAATTTATTTTATGGAACCTAGTTTATGCAAATTTCACTTTGAATTTCAATTCAAGATTTCGGTTTTCATGTTTTCTCATTGCAAGTTCATGAATTCTTTTAACCTAATTATGAATTAGGAACTCTCAATCACGAGTGACTTAATCCATAGATAGGGTTGTTGGAATCATGAACAATTAACAAATTATGAATAACAACTAAGTAGCTAAACAGTGTTTATGCATGTATTGTTAATCTTTTTACTTATATGTTTTTCTGGCGGTGCACATTGTTATAAATCGCCTCATTCCTACTTGAAATTACCAAGGGGGTAATGAATGAGAAAAATATTAACAACAAGTATTTAGTTAGGGATTTTCTTTAATTTAATCGTTTGACTTTACTCAATTAAGAAAAGGGTGAATACCTTAGATTAATTAGCAAAATGACCAATCTTGGGTGAAGGTAAGGGTTAGTAACGCACGCATTCGTATATTTACCAAATCGCGAGTGGAAGTCCTTATGGTGATTGCCAATCACTTAGGGATACAGAATTTATCGACCTTGCATGTCAAACACTAGGAAAGGATTACTACTATTATGATTACTGTATTAAAATCTTGTGGGGAACACATATACCCTACTTTCCATCTTATATTGATATCTCATACTTTGAATCTTTATTACTTGTTACTTATTGATTCAAATCAACAATCTGTAACTTAATTTACAAAAAAAAACTATTTACTTATTTCGAAAATAGTTTGATTAAAAAGATATAATTGCGTGATATATTTGAGTTTAAACCCTATTCCTTGTGCGATTGACCCCACCCTACAAGTTGGGTTTTTTTCTTGATAATGATCGTTTATGCTTCATTAAGAGAGGTGTAATTTTATCATATCAATTGAGAAGAACTTTGAGGAAAATAAAAAATATAGGGGTACACAAAAATCTAATCAAAGAGAGGTCTAGTAGATTGTAACGTTGCAAGGCTACCCTCTAGACGTGGACACGGACCTAAGATCAGACCCCAAGCTAACTTTACTGGCCTTACATGAGCATAATGAGAGTAATAATAACCGATGCGGATACTAATAATAAAGTATATCTAAAATGATTAGGGAATGCCCATGTACAAAACTAAACATATTAAATCTGTGAATTCAATACAAAGAAATATCAGACTCGGAATAATAAATTTGAATCTAATGATGTCTTAAAATAGCCTCTAACTAACTAGAAATTTTGGAACATGTCCCAGCCAGGTCTAGCAAAATTGAAATTAAAAGGGTGAATTTTTTTAAGATAACAAGAGTATTGTCCTCGAAGGATGAGGACTCAACACTAATGTTGTTTCACTTGAGATGGGGAATCGATCTAAATATGATCTAGATGCTAAGAACCTGAACCAACATCACAAGAAAATGTAGCGCAGAGTATGCATTAGTACTAGAAATGCACTTAGCATGCAGGATAGAGTAAAGTTGAAACAAACATATAACTGAACAAGCAAACAAGAGTATAATCTAAACATGACATTGATACCGAGTAATGAGCTAGCTTAATGCAATGACCAAATGATAACATACTCACAATAAATACTTACTATACTAGAATGTGGTCAATACAATGGAGTATGTGTGAACCGTGGGAGCTACTAACAACCGATAATAATACCACCTGTGATAAATGTGGATTCCAATGAATATGCCTTATAGAAGGGACCTAATATATCGGACAAAAGATGTAGATGCATTCTGGTGTGATAACTAAAATGATGCCCTCATATAGGAATTACAACCTAAGTTGCTAGTAGTTCTTGGACTATTTGGATGACTGACCCTAGTCTAAATTGGTATTATGCTTCTCCCAATTTATTAAATGACTAGCGTATGATGACTGAATTTCTATGATATACAAGATAGCTCAAAGCGAACATGCAATCTGGCAATGCATATTAATATAATGATAATCATACATTCAAGACTAAGGCTTGTATATTTGAAATATCCGACCTACCATGTGTAATTGAAGAACCAAAGAAGTATATAGCTAGGATTCTGGATTTCATGCAAGAAATAAAGTAATCACATGCAAATATGTTGAAGTTCAAGAAATCCTAGGTCTTGTTGATAATAGGGAATCAAGAATTTGACTTAAATATATGGACCTACTGGGCAAAAGGAACCCACTAGTGAATTCCAAAATACCTGGTGAGGAATTCCACGGAGGAAAAATTGATTTTTGGACTTGAAAAGATGGATTTTATTGCGATGTTGAACTGGGTTTTGTTTCCTCCTTTTTCTCTCTAAGTTCTAATTTGGTAAGTTTTCATGAAAGATTTGACTTAGATAAGTTCTAGTTATGTTTCTACGCTAAAACTAACCAAAACCATGTAGCTTAGGGTTTAAACAACGTAATTTAGGGGTCAAACAAAATAGGAAAAGAGAAAAGTACCCTTGATTTAAACTTTTGATGTGGCTTACTACGACCACTTTCACGGACCGTGAAAAGGATAACAGATGGTGAAGTGGGTTGTTGTATTTGGTCAAGAGTTTACTGGGTTCTAAGGGTCCGATCTATGGGTCCTACCTGTTGCTGTGTTAAGGACCATGGATAGTGACGGTTCCCGTGGTCCTCACTTAGGTCCTGGGGTCTGGTGGCCCTTGTTCATGGACCTTTCCACGGGACAAATGAAGTCCCTTATGGTCCTCTCTTAGAAGTTGGGGAGTCCTGGGATTGACAAGAAGGTGTGTATGCGTGTAGGAGAGTTGTTGCCTAAACTATCACGGACAATCCCACGGTCGTGTAAAGGACCACGGACTGTGAAGGTCCTCATGGTCTTTACTTGGGCGTGGGGTTTTAAGGGGCTTGCTAAGGAGCCTACTGTGTTGACTCCATGGATGCACACGTGATCCGTTGGCAAGAACACGACGCGTGAAGGGTCCCGTGGTCGTAGGTTTGTGCCTGGGGGATGATAACTCCCTACCACAGGCAGGTCAAAGTACTTGTGGTTTTGCTGGAAACAATGGAGACCATCATCTTCATCATCATTGCTAGAAAAATGGAAATTATTATTTAAATATTTTCTTTCTCCATATTCACCTTTCCCCACACATCGGCTCAATCTACACCCTTTATTCCCAACGAATCGATGTAGAAACAAAAAGAAAAGAAATGCAAATACAAAATCAAAATAAACAAATCAAAAACCGGTCTTTTAATAAAACACTATCAATTTTGATAGGAATAAGAAAGAAGCCATAAAGAGAAATAAAAATAATAAATTCATATATAATATATCTTAAAACTCCAAAGAGTGATTGGTAGGGAAAGAGAAGAACGGGGAGATTTGGGGTGGGCTGCATAATTTCATTATGTTTTTTTAAAATAATCTGAATGCTTTTGTTTTAAAATTTTAACTTGTTTATATTCAAAATTGTTTTTAAAAATGCCATGTGTCTTCATTTGATTTTTCATTTGACATAACATATGCAAGTGTATTGCACACATTTAGTAATTTTACATAGTATCACAAAAATGTTCAATTGGTATTTATTTTCTAAGATTAGAGTATCTAATAGGGAAAATGGTCTACTAAAGTTTCTAAGTGAAATACACAAACAACTTTAAGGGGTCATCGGTGACTTAAGCTAAAATTATGTCACCAAATATAATTTGATAGATTATAACGTATTGAATATATTATCCTTTAAATAATAAATACAATTCGCAAGGTCGTTATAGTTTAGATGTGAAAATATTTAAACGCGGTTAATAAATGTATAAAATGTAAATTCATGATAAATTCTTGGCTAGATGAATAATGATCCCAATAATGATATTTATATAAACACACTGCAGTTTAAAATATTTATCAGTTAAATATTTGATAATAGTATACATAATATTATTCCTGTGCAGGGTTAATCAAGAAATCTCTTAACATATCACAACAATATATAAAGGCATCATAATTTTCAAAACAACAAGAGGAGAAAAAAATCCAAAATATTTCGCATGAATTACGTCAGAAAGGTAGAGGATATATATATTATGTATTATTTTATGTTCGTTTTGAAATGAAGATCTCTTATTGAACAATGATAAATATACTACTCTATATAATTTAATGTAAAAATTAAGTCAAATGAGGTTCCTTAAAAAGAGAAATATTTGAGAATACGGAACAACAACTTACTACAAAGACTAGATTGTAGAATTGAATAACAATAGAAAATAATGAAACTAAAAAAGATCCATTTTTCTATGATTTAAATGGTTAATCATAGTAAACTATAAAACAGTAATTCTTCACTTCCCACACTAAAAACCTAAAACAGAACCATGACTATAAGACCACATATGACGACATAGAAATTTGGTGGAGAGGGGAGAAAGATTAATTTCTCCTGTCATTTTCCTCCTATTAGGTAGAAGTAGTACCAATTTGGAGTTCCTCAATACCCATGAAAATATCTTCATTCATGTGTATCGTTTCTTTACTATCACCTTTGTTCTGCATGACCGCAAAAAGCATTTTGTTTTTGCTCCCAATTTCAAGTGGAGGCTTAGTTCCGATAATTGAAGAAGCAACATCTGTTGAATGCTTAATGCGCTTGGACGATGATGATGATGCATTAAAGATTGATTCTTTGGGGAAAATATTTATGCTTTTTGGAAGCTTGAATTTGGAATTATTTTTGAAGCTAGAAAGATATCTGCGGCTTATGGGTGGATCATGATTGTGATTACCGGAATAAGATACAAAGAAAATGTTCTCATCCTTTGAGCTTTTCTCAATTTGTTTCTTTGCTTCACAATGTTTTGATGTGCTACACTTATAGTAATTCCTGTTATACCATATGCACAAAGTAATAATTAGATTTATTCAAATATTATAAGTATATACACCATTAATAATTTTTACTACTTTTTGTTATGAAAATTGAGAACAGAAGGGAACACAACTTTCTATAACATGAAAAAAAATTGGTGAGAGAGCAAACCTTGGAAATGGGGAACCTTTTATATACTTTTGACCATACTTGCGCCATGCCCATTTGTCATTTATGAGTTCCTCTTCCGATAATTCATAGGTAGGCCTTATCGACTGATTTTTCCTGAATCAGAAGCACTAAAGTCAAAAATTTTAATATACAAGCATAAAATGTAATGAAGTGAGTGGTTACCTTGTTGTAGATTGGGTCAAAGGAATCTTCATAGAAGAAGCAAAATTAGGATGAACTTTAGCCCCTATATCGAGCTGTTGTTGTAGATCTATCCATTCTGGTTGTGTTGTAGTTGGTGGTACACATGCCACCGTTGTTCGTGATTGAGGAACAACGATTTGTTGGAAAAATTGAACTGGTTGAATTGAATGTAAGTAGAATTGCTGGTTGTTAAGCTGATCATATGATCTTTCCTGACGAGCTATTGGAAAATCTAACAAAACACTTTCAGATGAACCATTAAAACTATTCATGCCAGGAGTTAAAACTCTGTCAAAATAATTCCAAACATGAGATGCTTTCAAACCTAATTTAGGAGCTACAACATTGTTAGGTTTATTCATATTACAACTTCTTGCTATTTCACCTATATCCCGATGATCATCCTCCATTTTAGATCAATATATAAAGATATCTAGTTAAATGCAAAAAATGAAAATAAATGTATAGGATAAACTAATGATGTTTTCTATAAAAGCAGAGATGGAATAGAGGATTCAAAGAGGGGAATGACTTATGGAGGAAGAAGATTAGAAAAAAGAACGTCTTAGTGAGCAAGAAATTATAAATGGGATGAAGAAAGTGAAGCTACATCACAACTTAAATAGAGAAGTATCTACCTACCACGCATGACCACATTTACTTTTTAGTTATTGCAAAGTAAATAGTTTTTTCCATTTTAGACTGAATGAGATAGGCGACAAAATAGTATTCAAATATAATTTATGCGGCAGAAGAGAAATCAAATAAATTTTATGTACCTTTTTTTTATCATACATATATTATGATATACAAGAAACTAATCAAAGTCTATGATATGACTCGAAATTTGATCGTATTGACGCTTACGTAACCCTTTTGTAGCCAAGCCAAAAAACTAAAATTTACAAAACATAAGAATATAACGATAGGAAGAAGAAACAAGAATAAATATACAAAATAGGGCCATAAAATAAAAAAACATAAACATGATACACAATATATAAAAGATGCCTGAAAATGACAAAGAATGACAAAGTAGCATAAGAACTAAATCTCTAAACCTGGTGTCACTAGAACATGAAGAATTAAGTATAGAAGCTCTATACGAAAATGAACTAACTAATCAAAATACAAAATACAAGTCAGTAAAAAATAGAAAAAGCGGCAATTCTCCGGACGCTAGGAACTCACCATGATCCGAGTCAGTGACGATCCCGAGGAATTCAACACTAAGTGAGAGTGGCTTGTACTGGCAATTTTGTCAGAAAAAAGATTCAGAAATGTAGTATGAGTACTACATCACAGTTTTCTCAATAGGTATCATGAGTAGACAGATCTCAAAAAGATCAAATATAATAAGAGAAGTGATATACCATTAGTTTACAGTATTTTTGATGTGTTTCACTTAGTGTTGGTGTGTGTCTTGGGTTATTTTGTTGTTGGAAAGAATTATTCAATAAAATTCTTGTAGTAAATAAGTTCAGATGCGGTGGATGAGATAAGAGTTTAAAATTGCAGAATTGTCCAGTGACGGAACCAACCACAGACAATTGGTTCATTAATGGGTCGTAGGGGATGCAACATAGATGATGGTTCAGAGAATTTTAACAAAGTGTGGGACCACGGAGGGTATCGACGACCCATAGATTGAATCACAGACCATTATGTACATCCGTCATTTGTGATTAGAAATTTGAAGTTCTATTACTTAAAACGTATGAAACGTAGTCAAGTCCACAGAGAATAGGTCCAACCATCGTCTGAAGTTTGTAAAATAATTTCCAAGTGTTGATCCATGAAGGAGATCATGGACCGTAAGTGGATCCACAGTCATTAGCTTCTGTCTTCGATTGAAACCGCATCTAACCTATTATTTTCTTATTTTCATTCCTACTTGGTTTAGTATTTGTGTTCTATGAATATTAGTTTTTATTTACGTTTTTAAGGGTTATAAATTATTGTATATTTAATTTTTGGATTTTTGGAATTATTTTTCTAACACTTAACAATTTATTTTCTAGAACCTAGTTTATGCAAATTTCACTTTGAATCTTATTGTGAGTTCATGAAATCTTTTAACCTAATTATGAATTATGAACTCTCAATCACGAGTGACTAATCCACAACTAGGGTTGTTAGAACCATGAATAGTTAACAAAGTATGAATAATAACTAAGTAACTGAATAGTGTTTATGCATGTATTGTTAATCTTCTTATTTAGAATTAGTGTTTATGCATGTATTGTTAATCTTCTTATTTAGAAGTCTTTGTAGCGGTTCACATTTTTATAACTCGCCTCATTCCTACTTGAAATTACCAAGGGGAGAAAAAGATTTTGCAACAGAAATTTTGTTAGGGATTCGCTTCTATCTAATAGTTTGACTTTAATCAATTGAGAAAAGGGAGAATACCCTAGGTTAATTAACACAATGACTAATCTGGGCTGAAGATAAGGGTTAGTAACGCACACATTCGTAGATTAACGTGAAAGTCCTTATGATGATTTTCAATCACGTAGGGGTACATAACTTATCGACCTTGCATGTCAAATACTAGGAATGGATTATTACTATTATGATTACTACATTAAAATCTTGTGGGGAACAAACACGCCCTAGTTTCCATCTTATATTGATATCTCAAACTTGGAATCTTTCTTACTTGTTACTTATTGATTCAAATCAACAATATGTTATTTTATTTACAAAAAAACCTATTTACATATTTCGAAAATAGTTTGATTAAAAACAGATAATTATGAGTTATTTATTGATCTAAATTGGGTTTATTACTTGATAATGATCATTTATGCTTTTTTAAGAGAGGTGTAATATTATCATATTAAATTTAGGCGATGCTGCCATGGAATACGACTTATAAATTAAGTTTAACTAAATTAATGAACTTAAGTCAAGTATTTCATGATTTTATTTTTTTCTAATGGTTTCAACACTAGAATATGGCAAGTACACGGAATCAAGGCTAATCCTTAACACCCTATGATCGTCAATTGAGAAGAACTTTGAGGATTGTCATGTCCCAAGGCTAACCCCTAAAAGTGGACACGGACCTAAGATCAGACCCAAGCTAACCCTACTGGCATGACTTGAGTATAATGAGAGTAATAATAACTGATGCGGATACTAATAATAAAGTATATCTAAAATTAATTGGGAATACCCATGTACAAAACTAAACATATTAAATATGAGAATTCAACACAAAGAAATATCAAACTCAGAATACTAATTTAAATATAATGATGTCTTAACATAGCCTCTAACTAGCTAGAAATTTATGGGACATGCCCCAGCTATGTCTAGAAAAATTAAAACTAAAAGGGTGAATTTTTTTAAGATAACAAAAGTATTGTCCTCGAAGGATGAGGTTTCAACAGTGATGTTGTTGAACTTGAGATGGGGAATCAATATAATGTGATCTAGATGTTGAGAACCTAAACCAACATCACAAGAAAATGTAGCGCAGAGTATGTGTTAGTACTTGAAAGGTACTGAGCATGCAGGATAAAGTAAAGTTGAATAAACATAGAACTGAACAAGCAAACAAGAGTATAATTTAAACATTATATAGATACCGAGTAATGAGCTAGCTAAATGAAATAACCAAATCATAACATGCTGAGACTAAATACTGACTATACTAAAATATTGTCAATACAATGGGGTCTAAGTGAACTATGGGAGCTATTATTAAGAGATAACAAAACCACATGCGATAAATGTGGATTCCAATGTATATGCCACATACAAGGGACCCAATATACCCGACTAAAGGTGTAGGCGCATTCTGGTGTTATCAGTAAAATGATGCCCACATATGCGACTTAAAACCTACGTTGCTGGTAGTTCTTGGACTATGTGGATGGTTGACCCTAGTCTAAATCAGTATCATGCTACTCCCAATTTATGAAATGACTAGCGTATTATGATTGAATTTCTCTGATGTAACACTTTAAAAATCCAAGACGTGTTCTAGAGCCTAACTTAAGTGTCATAAAGTTTTGACACTTTTTAAGGTCTATTTTAATAAATATACGTCATTTAGGAAGTATAGAAACCAAAATATCAAAAAATGTCCATGACGTTCGGAAACTAGTTCAAGGAGGTACTAGCGTACCTTAGCCTATTTGACTAGTTTTTAGAAGTCGGGAAATGATGAAAATTGGTGGAAGGGTGTCAAACCTGTTTCAAGTTTATTCATAGTAGAGACATACGAGCACGAATCCCCAAGTACCAACCAAGGGCCCTTGAGGAGGACCTTTACAAAAGTTGGCAAAAGTTGTGAAGAGACAGTGTCACTAACAGATGCCACAGACGGGCCGTTGGTGAATCGACGGGGAGTCGATGCCACTCGTTGATGGAAACTTAGATAAAATCTTTGAAGGTTTTTTTTTGCATAGTCTCTGAACTTAGCAATGGATGTGAAGCATGGAGGGAGCAGTGGTCGTCGATTGACCAACGATCTGTTGATCGTGGTCTCGTCGATGGGCCTATGTTTTGCTGTATGTTTTGACTTATTTTTGATAATTAGTATACTTATTTAGGAAGTTATTAGGTGTTAGGTAAGGTCTAATTAAGTGAAATACCCCCTGTATAAAGTCCTAACCTAATTAAACTAATCAAAATTCTCATAACTCACAAAATCCAAACTCTCTTCCTTCTCTCTTATTTCTCTCTCTAGTGAAGAACTCCATTGAAGACCAATCTACGGGACGGTTTAAGGGCTGAAATTATTCAATTTTCACCATCAATATTCATCAATTGTTAAGGTATGGTATCTCTTTTACCTTTGATACCTCTTTCCTCAAAGGATTCCATCAAATTGATTTCCAAAGTTGGGTTTTCAACTGGGTCTTTTCCAAATCTCGAAATTTATATTATGAATTGATTTGTTTAAGATTTATTTTGGATATTATGAATGTATTAACATGTATTATAACTTAATTATGATATATCTTAATGGTTTCTTCAAGTTTGTAGAAGATGACCTTTACCCCTTAACCTTAGGTTATGATCTTGATATGAATTATGATATATTGGTTCAATTGACTTGGTTATTGGTTGAATTACTACTATATGATGTTTATATACAAATTTTGAAAGAATTAGTGTGATTTTATAGTCATTTATGCTAGTTCTTGAGAAGTCTAAGTTATGTACTATATGGTGAGTTTGACCTATGTATATTGTCTTGAGATATGAACTAGTATTGAATTGTGATATATTAATTCTTCTAGCCTTAATCATCATGTTGGTCATTGAATTGTGGTTATGTTATGACCTAATTGGGTTGAATTAAGGGTTGATGGTAAGACCTTGATGATGAATTATGAAGGAGACTTTGTAAGTCTTGTGATCCCTATTCTTTACTTCAAATTATGGTTAATTG